TAAATTACTACATATTCATCGTCCAAACTACTAATTCTTATTTATTATGAGACTGTAAAAAACAAATCCGATTCATCAGTCTGAAGAAAAATTATCAAACATCACAAATTAACATAATCCACAACTCCCAGGCAAATTCGCAAAACAAGTTGAGTTAAAATCAAAATAATTTTTATCACTCCCCTCCCCTTCCCCCTCTCCTCCTTCCTCAGCCAGAGCCACCAGTTTTATCTGGTGTAATTAGCAGGATCATTCAGATGGCCAGTCTGGAAGGCCCCATACTAATGTCGCTACTGGGACACACACACACACACACATACATGCACACACACGTACACACACATACATACATACACACATACACACGTACACGCACATACATACACGCACATACACACATACACGCACATACACACATACACACACGCACGTGCACATACGCGTGCACACACACATACACACATATACAGCACAACTACACCAGCCCTGCCATTTCGGGTCTTAGCAGCATATATTCAGTCTATCAGATGTATGCGCACTACCTTTTCAGAAATACTTTCTCACGTGCACCAGTCGCTAATACCCCAATGGTTGTTTCAGGAATATCACCAGCTAATATGCTATGTCCACCCACTACTGCTAGCAAAAGAAGCCAAAAAAAATGTTCTGGAAATATAGTTATACCAATTTATATCTGCTAATTGATGCTACTACTGCTACGAGAGTTCGAATGATTACCTGATATTTTGGTGGATTGTTGATACGTGGATACGGGCTTACTGGAGTGCCATTATGTATTAGTTGATTATCAACAAGATTCCAGCCCCAGCTCTGGTCGTCACTTCCAAGTAAAGCTACGTAACCCTGACAGTGCAGTGCTGCGTGTCTGAAAAACCCAAAAAGCTTTTACGATAACTTTCGAGCATAAATGTATTCATCATTTAGATTATTTATGAAAACCAGGACCATTGCTGGAATAATCCAAGATCTCGAGCCTAGTCATAGTGAACCCTTCAAGCCATGGGTTCATCCTCCCCAATTAGTGTTTTATCGCCTATTAGACGTATGTGTGCCATATTTTCGGAAGCCGCCCGAGCAGTCGTTTATCTTCGAGAGCATTCTCATGCCAGCCATCAGTGACGCCCTTTACGCTATTTATGTATGATCGCATAGAATTCTGACCGAGGTATTTCATCATGATGTGCAGATGGCAGGGAATTAAGTGGCGTCGAGTCACGGTGAGCACACAACAAATACATCGACACTATGATACAATCAACATCCTACTGTTAACGTCTTTTATTTAAAGACAAAAGAGGAATGTAGAGCTTTAATACTTCCCCTGAACTACCGGGAGTTATGGCCTTTTGGAATTTTCCCCTCCCATATTCATGAAAGTACTATTTACATGAAAATGATGTATCGGGCTTCGCTCCGTATTTATCTAAATCTGCAGTCCAGTAGTGTTCAAAACATTTAAACGACTAATTTCAACATTACTATAGGTGAAGTCGGTTATGCTAAAACGCTGGAAGGACCACTAGTAGACCAATAAGATGGT